ACAAAAGCACAGCTACGCCTACTCCAGACAGCGTCACCACCACACAGCCACCACCGCCCAGTGTTGATGGAGGCAGCTCAATCCAACCTGAACTACCAGACAAAATCATCACCACCACCACCACCACAACTGTGCCTCCTGAGAAGAGCACACCTCCTCCCCCCGTTGTTGAGGGAGGAAGCAGTTCGCCAAAGGGGCCAGAACCTGATAAAGAAGGCACCACTCCAGCAGCTCCCGACGGCGTCACCACCACAGAGCCGCCAAGTGGTGTCGATGGAAGTTCAGCCAAGCCACCAGAGCCACCAGGTGGTCCTGATAAAAGCACGACAACACCAAGTCCCGATGCTACGACACTACCACCACCTCCTGAAATATCCACCACCACCCCCACCACAACTCCAACTCCCGAGAAGGCCACAACATTGCCACCTAGCGTCGATGGAGGCAGCAGCAGTTCACCTATGGAACCTGAGCCAGTCAAGACAACAACAACTCCAACTCCAGAAGGCATCACCACACCGTCGCCGCCAAGTACTGACGGCAAAACAACTGAACCTCCACTTCCACCACCGAGTCCTGAACAACCGGACAAGGCAGGTACTACAACTCCGCCAGCAGCTCCCGATGGCGTCACCACCACGCAGCCACCACCACCGCCCAGTGTTGATGGAGGCAGCTCAGTTCAGCCTGAACTACCGGACAAAATCGTCACCACTACCACCACAACTCCAACTTCCGAAAAGGCCACAACATTGCCACCTAGCGTTGATGGAAGCGGCAGTAGCAGTTCACCAAAAGAACCAGAGCCAGACAGAACGACAACTCCAGCAACTCCCGACGGCGCTAGCACACTTCCGCCTAGCACCACCGATAGAAGCACTTCTCCCAAAGGAGAGCCACCTAGTCCTGAACAACCTGATAAAACAACCCCAACCCCAACTCCCGACAAGGCCACAAGCCCATTGCCCCCAAGCACTGATGGCAGCAGCTCACCCAAACCAAAGACGCCTAGTCCTGAACAACCAGAGAAGGCCACAACCACCACAACCGTTTCACCAGATGGCACAACATTACCACCAGCAAGCACTGACGGCAGTTCAAAGGCGCCCGAACCGGACAAAACTTCAACGACCACCACAACAGAAACTCCCGATGCAACGACCACAGCAGTGCCGCCGACCAGCACCGATGGAGGCAGCTCAATACAACCCGAGCTTCCAACAGGAAGTCCTGAGCGACCAGACAAACCAGCCACCACTTCAGCCCCTGAAGGCCCCACACCAGGGGCGCCAGACACTGATGGAACCGGAAGTTCACCACAACCTGAGAAAACCACAACACCAACTCCCGATGCCACAACATTACCACCAGGCGTCGATGGAGGCAGCAGTTCACCAAAAGAACCTGAGCAACCAGAAAAGTCAACACCACCAAGTCCGGACATACTCACCACCACCACTACCTCAACCACTCCCCCTTCAACTGACACACCTTCTTCACCCTCTCCACCTTCTCCTTCTCCATCAAGTCCCCAACCTCCTGAAACGACTACTTCCTCTCCAGACGATAAAATAACCACCACAATTTCATCATCTCCATCATCATCCCCATCAACCCCTGCTGAAACAACGACCACCACCCCTGCCGGCCCTACGACCACCCTCTTCCCCGACGACTTTGACTTCGAGGAGACGGAAATCGAGGCGGGCAAGCTGATCATCGAGAATGAGTACCGCCGCGACGCCGTCTTCAANCATCATCATCCCCATCACCCCCAGCCCCTGAAACGACGACCACCACCCCTGCCGGCCCTACAACCACCCTCTTCCCCGACGACTTTGACTTCGAGGAGACGGAAATCGAGGCGGGCAAGCTGATCATCGAGAATGAGTACCGCCGCGACGCCGTCTTCAACATGACCCGCGAGGCCTTCCTCGCCTACGAGCACTTCGCCTGGGGCCAGGACGCCCTCCAGCCAATGCCGCACCATCCCTTTCCCGCCGGGCAGACGCCCCCACAGCTGCTGTACGCTGCTGCCCGTCGCCGCCGTCGAAGACAGTCTTCAGAAGAAAAGGAAAATGGAGAGAAAAACGACCCCACGCTGATGAACGCCCACACGATCATCTCGGCGATGGACACGCTGCTCATCACCGGCCACAA